GAAGTATAAATGATCCAAATGAGAGAAAGTTACCCTTTATTAGTCCATCACCTAAAACCACTTGTGGTCTACACAAATAACCATATTGGACTCTGCATTTATGCATATGCACACATTCCTGTGCACACAAACGTTATCTTTTTAAAACACAGARGGATGGGGTTGTGGCTCAGTGGTAACACTTGCCTGGCATGTGTGAGGCACTGGCTTCGATTCTCAGCACCACATATAAATAATTTTAAAAAGTCTATCAACAACTAAAAAAAATATTAAAAAAAAAAAAACACAGAATCACATGATAGACACTGTTCTGACATCTTTTCCTCTCTCTTCTATTTGGAGAACTTTTCATGTTGGAAACAGTGGCATGACATTTATAGTTAAGATGTAGCAATAGTTATCCACCCTCTTTTGATTGACATTTAGGTTTTCATTGCTTTTTCTTTATTGCAAACATTCCTGCAAATAGGCATACATAAGTGTTAAATATTCTATATTTGAAAAAGTTTAAAACTCTTTTTAAACATTAAAAATTTAATAACTCACTTTGAACTGGAAATAAATGCTTCCAGAGAATTCTCTTTGACATCACCCATTTGAATGCTATCGATGCCATGGTGTTTTACGATGATCAGACGATATGATGAAAGATGTTCTGAAGAACAACCACCTTTCAAATCTACTTCTAGGCACATCAATTTTTATTYCTGCTTAAGAGATAAAGAAAAATCAATGCTACCTATCATAAACTACAAGAACAAGACAGGAAGCATTCCCTAACAGGACAGTCATTTGAAGTAAGGATTTCCAACAACTTTGCATTTCCACATAATTTAATAGGACGTACAACAATATCTAAATCTAAAATGAAAAATCCCACTTATATATAATAACCCCATTATTATTTTTCTTAAATGCAAACATCTCAGCACTCAGTGCAGCTTTTTCCACTTACTGAATACTCAGAAAATGTGTAATTGCTTTTAGAATCTGTCACTTACAATGGTACACTGAGCATCCCATCTATAATTAGTAGCGTGCCTGTACCACCTCCTAGTACCACATACAAGACCTTATTACATCACACAGAGTAATATTCTGTTTCTGATTCAACTAAATATTAAACAAGAAGGCCTATCCTTGGCCTATCACATACTTAGAGAAACACAAATGTCATCATCATAAGGTTCCAAGGTGTTTTCACCACCATTTCATTTTACTCTTGTATTAACCATGWGTGGTTTCCTTATTTTGAGCCTTGAAGAAACACAAAATTTGAAGGACTTACTTCCAAAATTTTAGAGTTGATCAGTTACAAACTGGGAAACTTTGGGCAAATCATTAACTAAATGACCCTCCATTTTTTTCCACTGGTAAAGTGGGGGAAATAAGCACAATAATTTCATGAGCTGCTGTGAATAAATAACAAAACTATTATACCCTTTTGTTTAATTGAACTCGGTGACTATTCGTGCCCTTCTCCCAGTGGAGAACGATGAAAGGGAATTAAGACACAGATTCTCTTTGCAGGACTAAAGTATACAGGCGGATTCCTGGCCCTGTTAGTACTTAAGTACGGCTAACCCTGAGTTCATAAGAGTATTATTCACAGTTTACAACCTACTTTCGTATGCAATTATGTGTTCTTTCATAAATCTGTAAAGTAGGCATCTTCGTTCTACATATTAAGAACAAAGTTTAGGGACCTCAAACGATTAATTCGCTCCCCTATTCTCACCGTTCAGTAGATAGCATGGGTGGAACGCAAACCCACGTCTTGTGACAACAAGACCAAGAACATAGGACTTTAGGAGTCTTTAGGTTCCCTCTACCCGAGGCCAGCATACCCAGTGGAGGGTCAAACTATTCAGCCCAAGGAGCAAATTTCAGAGAGCAAGTCCCTTGGCATAGAATTCCACCCAAAGCAAAAGCTACTGAGAGCTTCAGTGCAGCTGGGGTTCGTGGAACAGACTCCCAACAGCATAGAGAATAACACTCAGGGAGCGATTCGAAGGACTTCGACATGGAGGAGTCCGCGGACCCGCAGGTCACTCAGCTCCCGCCGAGTGTCGGTCAGAGCACTAGAGGGGCGCTACAGGAAGCACGCGACCAGGTGCCGTCCCTTCTACAGGATGGACATCTGGAGATGCCGGCAGCTTCGTCCTGCAGGCTACGACAAGCGGAAGGCCTCAACACCCGCCGATAAGCCTTCTGGGCCTGCCCAAATTCGAGGGACTCCTCCACGAGAGGAAGAGAGGACAGCAATTACCTCGTAGGTTACTCACCAGGAGATCGCCATGTTGCCTCAATCCGGGTACAGTGCGACCCCGCCCCCGCGCCCTCCCGGCCCGCGGAGCACTCTGGGAGCGGTAGTCTCCTCGGGAAAGTGGCCCGAGCGCAGAGGGCAGGCTGGGAACCTGCCGCAGTCTCCCGCCTTTGGCTGCAGCCGCTTGGGCTCGTCATTGCCAAAGGTGCTCAGAAGAACTAAATCATTGCCCCAGCACGCATCCGTAGACAGTAACGAGTACAATTTTATTAACTATGTTCATATTCAGAGAACCGCTAGATTATTCCTTGATAGAAGTAAACTTTTATCTTGTGTAAGCCACTATTTTTYTGATGGTCTTTTACTAACAGTCCAATACTAACTGAAATAACAGAATCAACATATTTCAAATCACAAATGTTTCAAGAAAAATACGTAAAAAGAATTAGTACTGGGCTGGGGTTGTAGCTCAGTGGTGGAGCACTTGCCTTGCATGAAGGAGGCCCTTGGGTTTGATCCTCAGCACCACATATAATTAAAATAAAGATCCATCAACAACTAAAATATATATATATATATATATATATTGAGAGAGAAAGAGAGAATATGAATTAGTACTGTGTGCACCTGTAATTCCAGAGACTCGCGAGGCTGAGGCAGGTAATTTAATAACACCATGTCTCAAAATTTTAAATAAATAAATAAATAAACTGAGCTCAGTGGAGCATCTTTGGGTTCAATCCCCAGTACCAAATAAAAATTWAAAAATTAAAAGATTACCACTAGAAAGAGCTGAGGCTGTGGCTCAGTGGTAGAGTAATTGCCTAGCCTGTGTGAGGCACTAGGTTAGATTCTCAGCATCACATATAAACAAATAAATAAATAAAGGTTCAACAATAACTAATAAAACATTTAAAAAAGATTACTACTGGTGAAAATGTAAGTTCTTCCACATTATTAACTATAATTCAGATCACAATTTATAATTTACTTTCATTTCAAAAGCTGTATTAGGAACACTCCAAATGGGACTTACATTTATATCTTCTCTACCCTTAAGCTAAAACCTTACTATATATAGGACCATCTTACTTCTCATCTGAATAACTCCTATGAGCTCAGCTAATGTTAGGGAGGCAGTATAGAGGTTATCAAATGAATTCTGAGGCTCCATCTGCCTAATTTTAATCTTGATTCCCCACTTCTTATCTATGTTGTTTTAGGCAATTTATTTATTTAATTTTTTTGAGTCTCAGTTTTTTCTTTGTGAAAGGTGAATAATAATGATGTTCTCTACTCCATAGTATTGTTAAGTGAATCAAAAAACAGAAAGTACGAAAAATGCTTAGCAAGGGGCTGGGGATGTGGCTCAAGCTGTAGCGCGCTCGCCTGGCATGACTGCGACCCGGGTTCGATCCTCAGCACCACATACCAACAAAGATGTTGTGTCCACCGAGAACTAATAAATAAATAAATATTTTTAAAAAAAATGCTTAGCAAGATACTTGGCATGCAGTAAGCACTCCATGCTAGCTAAAATTGTACGTTTAGGTGCTTAATAAAAATTTGAATAACAAACTTTTATGAACATCTACCCTAAGGAGATATCTTATTTTAAGGCATTCAAATAAAATCTTTCCCTTTTGACTATCAGCAATAATATAACAAATGTAATTAAAAATAAAAAAAAATATCTGGGTGCAGCAGCTCATGCCTATAATCCCAGCAGCTAGGAAGGCTGAGGCAAGTTCAAGACCAACCTCAACAACTAAGCAAGGCTCTAAGCAACCTAGTGAGACCCTGTCTCAAAACAAAAAGGGCTGGGGATGTAGTTCAGTGGTAAAGCACCTCTGGWTTCAATCCCCAGTACCAAGAAAAAGAAAAAGTAAGTTTAGTTTAAAATAAACAGTAACGATTTCTAACTTGAAGTTGGTGTGTCTTAGGGTCCCAGCAGAAAACAGATGACACACTCAAGCTGGAATAATTCCAGGAGAGATTCTTCACAGAGATATGAGTGATATACATGGGAATCACAAGTGGTAGTGGTTAACCCCCACTTAGTTATACTACCCAGGCCTGCAGAGAGAGAGGCACTAGTTGCCAGACTTCTTGAGAGAAGCAGTAATCTTCAGATGAATAACATAGCTGTCATGAGGTGACCTTATGAAAGGGTAAAGTTTCTAAACTGCAAAGCATGGGTTAAATTCCTGAGGCAGTTAAGACAAGGCCCTACTGGCCATTTAAGTTGATTTATGGCCTGGGATCCTATGTAATTCCTCACGTAAGCATTCAAGACCCTGTGCTGCTTGTCACGTAGACATTCAGGGCCCGAACCAATCAGTTTAAATGTAACCCCCTCCTTAGGAAAGACCTATCACTCCAGCCAGCCTTGTTCCCGCCAATGAATGTACTAATCAAGTCTAAGAATTGTTGTTTGATTTTCCCGCCATGTATGGTGATTTGTTAAAGGAGACTGTGATGTATGTAAAGTCCCCGCCCTCCCCCAAAAGTGTACTTAAGCATTGTTCAACCCCTGCTCTGGGCTCTGGGCTGCTCTCGCGTCTTGAGTGAGCCTAGAGTCTCAGAGCACTGAATCCGGATCCTCAATAAAAATCCCCTAATGCTTATTGCATGAAGCCAGTCTCTTGTGGTCTCTTCCTCCGACGTTTCGCCCATCCCTTACACTTACAGGAGTACTACAGAGACTGATTACCCTGATCTCTTTTCTTCCTCTCTCCTATGAATTAAGGCTCAGTCCCACAAGACTGTCYCCTAYTCCAGATACTAATCTGAGACTTAGATATAGATATACAGATATAAATATGGATATAGTGTACATTGGTGTTGTATTCTCAAACCCAACTGGACAATAGTATTATTAGGAGTCTTTGATAGGTTTGATATACTTCAATAAATCAAACACACACAAATAATATGTATATATGTATGTGTGTGTATATATATATATATATATATATATATATATATATATATATACACTATGTACATTCTGTATTTAAGTACTTCGTGTGGCCAGAAAGCCGGGTGGGGGGGGGGGCCGGTAAAGGGGCAGATGACAAGAAATACCCTTCCAGGGCACACTCCCAGTGACCTATTTCCTCCAATTAGGCCCTACCTCCTATAATTTCCACCACCTCCCAATAATGTCATCAACTTGTGAAACCATCAATGAATTAATCCACTGAGATGTTAGAACGCTTATGATCTAATCAGTTCCTCAAATTCTCACATCTGGAAAGTGTGACGTTGGGGACTAAACCTTCAACACATGAGCTTTTGGGGGATATTCCAGATCCAAACCATAACAGTCATGATATTTAAATTTATATTTTAAATTTATAAGAATTATTTAGGYACTTGGAAGTATTTATCAGAAAGTTGAAGAACTTGAAATATGAACACGTTAAATTTACAGATACAATTTTAAATGGGTATAGRTATTTAATTGACTCCCGTATTACTGTAGTTGCTAGTCTTGTAAATAGATTAATAAAATTTATTAATTGAACTTGAAAGCTTAAGACTAACTAGACTTCAATAGTTGAAGTTACTTGAATAAATAAAACCAATCTGTGAATGCTCTCCTTGTACAGGGAAGCTGCCTCAAAGACACTGAAATACATCAACATATAGATGTTTTTGCCCTCATCTTTCAATGAGGGCAATGAGAGAGGAGTGGAAACCAGCATAGACAGGAGGCACTTGACTTGGCAGAATACAGCAAAGGTCAAACCTGCAGATTGCACCAAGGCTTAGAAATTAACCAAGTGTTTAGGAAGGCATGTGACAAGGAGGCTGAAAACTGATGGAATGTTTGAAAGTTGGTATAACGTGCAGCTAGACCCTGGACTTCTGTATCCATCAGCCCGCCCGAATCAGAAATGGAAGTCTAAACAAATCCAAGAGCTCTGGACTCAGGAACACCGTACCTAGAAGAGRGCAGGGGAGGAGTGGCCAACAATGGAGGTGAGTCCCCTGGTTCTCTCCCTCATCCAGCTCCTGAATACCAGATCTGTTTCTTATCCCATGTCTTCCTTTTCTGTTTAAGTTAGCCTGAGTCAGTTTCTATATATGAAACCCAAAACCCTGACTAAAATAAAATTTTGCGGTAATTTCATTGATATGTCTCTATCCCCTGCCCATAGGGATAGTTCCAGTTTGATTTTGCTCATCATTTTGCCTACAGAATCTGTTATAGTGCCTCTCACTTAGTGGGCACTCATTAAATGTTTATTGAATAATTGACTGGATGAAGCCTTCTTCATATCTTATACATGGTCCTCACTGTAATAATATACTATATATAAGAATATATATAGCCGGGCACAGTGGCGCACGCCTGTAATCCCAGTGCCTTGGGARGCTGAGGCAGGAGAATCATGAGTTCAAAGCCAGCCTCAGCAAAAAGCAATTKTCACTAGTAATGCAATGAAACCCTGTCTCTAAATAAAATACAAAAAAGGGCTGGGGATGTGGCTCAGTGGTCAAGTGCCCCTGAGTTCAATTCCCAGTACCAAAATAATAATAATAATAATATATAAGAATAGCTCAGTTTCAAAATTTGTCACATCAAATTGAATTAATTCGTTTAAATGTGTTTTCCCTATTAGAATATAAGATCAAAGACTAACAGAATTTGATTAGATATCCTATCTTGTTCATTTAAAAAAAAAAAAAACAGTTCCTAGGTAGGGTCTAGTATATCATAGGCAGAGAATTAATGAAGGTGGGAAGAAGGGAACATATGACAGACATTATGTTACCACCAAATACACAGTAAAAAAGATGGTGCTCCTTGCCTTGAAGGGGTGCACGGTGTGTCGAGGAAAATAGGTAACCATTATTAGAAGTGGACATTTGTTAGCACATCATGTACACATCATGTGTTTTGAAGAGGATGAGAAGACTTCATGGAAGAAAATGAGAAACCAGCAGGCAACGGAGCTGGGAACTTCATGGCAAAAGGCAGTAAAATGTGAAAATCATGGCATTAGAGAAAATACAGTGATACAACGTATCACAGTGAGGGGCTAAGGGATGCAGCTC